ATGAATTATGCTAAAAAAAAAAAAGATTGGATGTATATTTGTTAGATTTCTCAAATGTTGGAGAAGCAAAGTGCACATTTTCCTGTTGTTTATATATAAAAGTTGGAGTCAAGTTTTCAAACTTTGCACACCTTAGGTCCCATTCTAAATATATCTAAGATCTTTATAATTCACTAGAAATGACCTCAAAATTAAATCCATGACAATTGCACAAGACTTTAGTTTTGATCCACCTCTCTTTTTAACATATTGTACATAGATCACTTTATTTTTATGAAATTTGCAATGTCTTGCAAGGTGATTAGATTACACTTGCACAAAACATATTCGTTTATCGATACGAGTATGTCATCCTTCTATATGGTCATTTTAATTTTCTCTATATGATTTCAATTTGATAGTATATTTCGAAAAAGACAAAAAAATCCTGTCCTACTCGTTGAAGTCGTCATTATCTTAGAAGATACAATGTTAGGGTTGGTAATGCATCGCTATTTTCTTTCGTAATTAAGAAACATCATTTATGGTACAAAAATGTTAGAATGTTAATAACTTAAACAATGGGATGACAAAGCTATAAGAGATAATAGTAATAATTAATAGATTGAAGAGAGATAAGAATGAACAACAACTTCTGAACAATGGAATTAATAAGCTTAATTCCAGGAACACAAGGGGCTAAAAAAAGAATTTTAGTTTGAAATGTGTGCGCACGTTGAATTCATTGAGAATTGCAAGTGGATTGTTTAGTGTAAGAACCTTAATCTTGATGCACTTTGCCACATGATTCTTTAAAATGCTCATTGCAACTACACAACATCCACATGTTGTTTATTCCAACCAATATTATTATGGAAAATTTACACTTTTCGTCCCTAGATTTTGAAAAATATAATAAATCTACTCTTAACTTTTTTCTTCTTGTTTCTTTTTTAGTATATTCCATTGCAACCTTTCAATCATGTAACAAAATTCATATTTCCCTCCATTTTAACCATTAAATGACGGATTTATCCCTATCCCGAAGTAAATAAAAATAAAATAGAGTAGTAAAAAAAAATATAAGAAAAATCTGGAAAGGGGGTTCCATAAATTCTCAGAAACTACAAATAAATCTCACTTAAAACAATTAAATACATATTACATTTCATTATTTCAGCCAAGTTCACCACGTACCCCAACCTATTCCACCTCCAACCGAAGCCGGACGTCACCTCAAAAATTACATTAAAGTTATGAATTTTTAAAGTATTTATAAAATTATTTAGACTTGAATTTTGATTGCACATTAGGTTTTGCTACAAAGGAAAGAAGAAAAAATGTATGAAAAATGAAATTCTGATGTAGATAATATTGGGATTTAGTTTTCTAAGATCTTGTGCATCTTGGTGCAAGCTAAAAGAAAATTCAGGGGGGTGCGGGCGCGAGGGGGGGGGGGGGGGTCAAATTCACTGGTTTTTAAGACAATATCGAGAACCGGACCATAACTAATTGGTTCTCGATGTATGGTACCAAAATCGACCTATTTAATAGAGAAATTAAAACCAAACCGACCAATTCTATCTAATTTCACCGATTCCTTAAAAAAATGCCCACCCCTAATTTTGGTTTAGATCAGTGGGTATTGATTTAATTTTCGAGTTCAAGTGATTTGCTTGGGATTGGCATATGGGAACAGAAAAATTCACATGTATTTTTTTTTTTCGATTGTGAGGTGATGAAAGGTAATTGGATCTCCATATTATGTCCCAATAACACCCTCTATTGATTCCTTCACCATGAATCCCCATAAAGAACTACCATATCCCCCTGTTTTAATGAAACTTATTTTGGAGAATCCTAAACCTTTTTTTGGGTGGATTCAAATTCAAATTTGAAATCTCAATTAAAAAAAAAAATCTCCACCATCTAAGGTGGTCGTGGTACTATCAACAGTGTTGGTAATGTGATTGTATTTGTGGAGATGTTGTTTGATCGCTGGTTAGAGTGGGTTGGCTTGGGTGAGCTTGAGTGGAGAAGATGAAATGTTTACTTTTTTTAACTTCTTCTTTCTTTGTGTGTTAACATGTATTTAATTGTTAGTTATGGGACTTCCAATGTAAACTTTTCTTGTTTTTGTTGTTTTATAGCGTCCTTTTATTTTTGTTAATTTAAAGAGGGCTAATCCATCATTTAATTGTCAAAATAGAGAAAACGATGAGTTTTGCTACATATAATTGAAAGGGATGAATTGTGCTGAAAAAAAAGATTGAATGTATATTTGTTAGATTTCTCAAATGTCGGAGACAAAAAGTGCAAATTTTCCTATTGTTATGCATAAAAGTTGGAGTCAAGTTTTCAACCTTCGCGAACTACACACCTTATATCTAAGATCTTTATAATTCACTAGAAATGACCTCAAAATTAAATCCATGACAATTTCACAAGACGTTGGTTTTGATCCACCTCTCTTTTTAACATTTGTACATAGCTCACTTTATTTTTATGAAATTTGCAATGTATTGCAAGGTGATTAGATTACACTTGCACAAAACATTTTCGTTTATCGATACGAGTATGTCATCCTTCTGTATGATCATTTTAATTTTCTCTATATGATTTCAATTTGATAGTATATTTCGAAAAAGACAAAAAAATCCTATCCTACTCGTTGAAGTCGTCATTATCTTAGAAGATACAATGTTAGGGTTGGTAATGCATCGCTATTTTCTTTCGTAATTAAGAAACATCATTTATGGTACAAAAATGTATATTCACATATGTCATAGAATGTTAATAACTTAAACAATGGGATGACAAAGCTATAAGAAATAATAGTAATAATTAATAGATTGAAGAGAGATAAGATTTTAAGAATGAACAACTTCTTCTGAACAATGGAATTAATAAGCTTAATTCCAAGAACACAAGGGACTAAAAAAAGATTTTTAGTTTGAAATGTGTGCGCACGTGCATACATGTGTATAAATCTGTGGAAGGCTCCAAATGCCATATGCACACGTGCATACATGTGTGTGTGAGTGCGTGTATTTTAGAGTGGAGAGAAAGTGAGGGCATGTGAATTCATAAAAATTACAGTCAACTTCATACAGAGATCCCTCAGTCTGCCAGCGTATATATCTCAGTTTTTATTGGTAAAAAAATTCGAACTTCGTTACATCAATATTAGACAGTATTGTACAGAATAGCGAAACACTTTCTTGATTATGTAAAGAGCAGATAGTTCTGTTCGGTACAAGATTGCTTGACACTCCCCTGTTTTTTGTGTAGAATATATTTTCAAATAGTTGATTGATGGGGGATGTGTGTTAAAAATAAGGGAAAAACTTTTAGATTACGTGTAATATTATTTTATTAAAAAATGCGTGGTTAAAAAAAAGATATCTTCTTTGACCCTTTTTTTTTTTGAATATGAAAACTAAGTTCTGAAATATTTATTTTTTAGAGAATGTGTGATTCGAAAGTAGGAAAAATTTTAAATTTACATGTAAAATTATTTTATCAGAGGAATGTATGATTGAAAATTCATTTGAAAAAAAAAATGAATTTTTAGATAATAAAGCTCAAATATGGGCTAAATGTACAACAAGACAAAGCCCAAGATTACTACGCTTGGGTTTTCCATAGTCGCTTCACCGCTCGAATGGAGAACGAAGGTGTTGATAGCTAGCGAAAAAATTATTAAGCCCTTGTTTTATTTAGATAAAATTAGATTTATGATAGATCCTAATAAAAATTGATGGAATTTGTGGTTAAAAAGTTACATGTTCCATAAAATGTGATTAAAATTAATTATTGAGTTTGACTACTTCTTAGCTGAACCAAACAAAGACCAAATCTAAGGCAGTTCCTAATACTCAATTCATAATTCGAGCGTTAGATCGACTTACTTTAAGCCTTCGAGTAAATTTTAATCATGAAACGAACAAAATGAAGAAAAAAAAAGGAAAAAAAAAATGGGTTTACATGTCCATTCCAAAATATTAAGAAACAAAGTACATAACATGCTATCTTAAGTAACTACATGTGACTGTTTTTTATAGTAAAAGATTCTGCAATTTGTATTTGTTTTTCACTTTGTTTCTTTTTCAGTCCAAAAGATACAAATTCTTTGAACGCGTGGCAGTCAATGGGATCGACATGTTATTTGACTGGCTATGTATCCTTTTTTTTTTTTTTCTTGGTCCTCTCTTTCTTATTAATTAGTATAATCGTGCACTTATTTAATTTAATTTTAAACATCAAATGAAATATCAAGAGTGTTAAACCCTACAAAAGATGACTATCCAAAAAAGAAAAAAACACCTTTATATAGTAAGAACGTTAAAACGGATTAATAAAAATCATCTCCGGAGCGATTGATTCCCTACAATCGACCATTGACCTTATCGTGAATATTGATATGTTGTTGATGAGATAAGTATCCGCAAAATTCCAAACCTAATTAATATGAGCTTTGGAAGGACTGGGGGACGGATTTATAGGGGGACAATGGGATCAGTTGCCCCCACACTAAATTTTCAAATTAAAATTGTGTGAAATTTACCCATATAACTCTACAATCCTAGCTCCGTCCCTGTTTTAAGGACACAAGTAAAAGGAAATATTGAGACAATTTACTCCTTGTCACCGTACAACTATACGTGTGAGATTAATGTGCATTAGTGCAGAAAGGAGGGGTAGGTGTCCGAATAGTGAGGAAGAGAAGATGAATATGTAGCCAGTTTTGTTAAGAGGGTACACAGTGCCTGGCTGTCTAGCATGTGAAGCCGTTGTGGCTCCGTTCCATCCATTCTCTTTCTCCCTTTCTTACATACTTACGCCCCACCCAACTGGCACTTTTTGATTCATTCACACAGAGAGCTGAACGGAGTACGTCAGGACAAAACACTCGTAGGATTTCAGCCTGATTCTCTTTGTGTCTTTTCCCCCATCCCAACCCCTTTTATCCTCAGCACTAAACGCAGAGACTTTGAGAAACCAAAAACCAAAACAATACAATGAATTATGTGTTTGCCAATTCAGAATGCAGCAGTGGATGTGAATCTGGATGGACTTTGTACTTAGAACACTCATCTTCCTCTTTCTCTCAGTATAGTGTTGCCAAGAAAGTAAAAGTCGAAGACGGAGAAGAAGAGGAGAATGAAGACTTGTCTATGGTTTCTGATGCATCGTCGGGACCTCCACATTTTCACGAAGAAGATGAGTTTTATCGTGCACCGGTAGATGCCACATTGTCGAAGATTAACAGGCCTAATATGAAGAAAGTTAAGGAAAATCCACGTCGAAAGGTTCAGGAACAACCTTCTTTACTCGATGATACTGCTAGCTCGCCTATCTTCGACTACTCCGAGGTAAGTACATTCGATATTGCTCGAGCTTTTCTGTCTAATATATCTTAACTGATATGACTAATCTTGAAACTTTACAGAAGAATTTTTCACTTCCAAATGGCCAAGCTTCTGTAGAGAATGCATTGGAATGCTCACAAGGCTACTCCACAACTCAGTTTGAGGTATTATTTATGCTTCAAAAATACAACTTTTTTTTTTATACAATTCTAGTTAAACATTTGCTAATCACCAAATCAATTTTTTTGCAGGGGAGATCTACATATCAGGAAAATTATGATTTCTTCCGGTCTTCACTGTATGCAAATCAACAGCAGCAAAATCATTTGAGTACGTATTTCACACCTTATGAAAAGGGCTTCAATTTTTATCTCCAAATAAGCATTATTCTTACTTTTTTTTCCCAAAAAATTAATAATTTCTTGAACCTTTTTCAGATGGTCTGAAGGCAAGAGGATTTGATAGCATGAATTGAAGTTCATCAAGAGGAGAGGTGTTCAAAACGAAGGGATTTGAATCTCAAAAGGGATTTTGTTCCCGATCCTTTATCTATTTTCTCTTTTTTTTTTTTTTGCTTTTATAGCTGTCAATGTAGTGGGAAACAACTAAAATGGGAGCTAAAATTTCAGTGTTGTTCAGATTTAAATTGTTTTTATTAACTCATAATGTCAAGAATGAGCTCTAAGTTTTTCTTGAGCCTCTTTATATATTCTGTCATGGAGCCCCCCCCATGTTGCCTTTATATACTTAATTTGTGCTGTGCAAAGATAAAGAAGAGTGCCCTAAAATAGAACAAGCAATCTGGTGGCATATTTTTACTAGAGCTTTGCAATGTTCCTTTTTTTATTTGTTGGTACTTAAGCAAACATGGCTGGAGTGAAGATAAATTGAAGGAAGGACTCGTAGATTCAGACGTTTTAAATAGGGAGCGATACCGATTGAACAAGTTAGAGGATGGAGTGATATGGCACAAGTTACCAGATGTGATAATTGTTAAGAATTTAGTTACTTTAAATCTTTTAATAAATCTAGCATATTGAAGAAAAACATTCATGTACTAATCTTGCAGATCTTTTAAACCTTGTTTTGAATCCCATTTAAGACAAGCCAACTTTAGAACTTCTAATTCTTGGACTGCAACAATACTGAGATTCTTCTCTATGCAAACTCAAAATTTTCAAGTGCCTTCCCACCTTTTTGTAATAAAGACATTATCCATGACCATAATACAGATTAAATAATTAACAAATAGTGTTTAGGTGGGGTTCTTTTTAATAGCCCTTTGTGTGCAGTTCTAGAACAAAATCTCTAAAAAGTCTAGGCTATAATGTGGACAAGACCTCACTGTCTCTTAGTGTCCAGACAAGGCCCCATCTTTAAAATAGTTCAACTTCTCATAATGAATTGATATTTTGGGAGATTAACCATATTCGGCGCCCATTAAATTTTAATTCATTTTTTTTTCTTCTTTTATCAATCACATATTCTTTTAATAAAATAATATTATATACAAATCTAAAAATTTTCCTTACTTTTTAACAATATATTCTTCAAAAAATACTCTTTCAAAATCTTTTTTTTTTCCATATAATGAAGCTCAACAAGGGCTAAGAGCATGTTTGGCTAAATTTATAGAAAAAGTAAAATTTATATTACTTGTAACTTTTTCTTTTTACACATATTTGAATAAATTATCTTTTTTGACTTTTATGTAAAGAAATAGTTACTATTATAGAAATAACTCTTACCTGAATGTCCAATAACTGTTTTATCCAAATAAGTAACTCACTTATAAGTAAACTTTGTCAAGATTAGCCAAACATGATAGACTCAAACAATGAGACAAGATGATAAAAGTGTAATACTAGGTGATGGGTAGTCAGGGATGACGTGGATGTGCCAAAATAAATGTTTGGAATATTTCACATCCATCTTTATGACCCTTTTTTAAGTGCAGAGATCCTGCCTGTGATCTTCCTGACCTAATGCAACATGCTGAATTTATTTTAATGTTGGCTCCTTCTATCTCATTTGGAAGGATCTTATTATTAGTAAAAAATTAATTTATACACAATTTATGTTAATATATTTAGCCTCCTTCCAAGGTTGTCTTCTTTAGAGCTGTCATTGGACTTCATGTCTGCCAAAATTATGGGTTTTTTTCCTACTTGATTTAACTATTCTTATTCAAGTTTATTTGTCATTGAAAGTTATGGTTTTGTTAAAGGTTGTAACTTATAACTAATAATTAAGGTTGTTGGAGTATGACCCAAATTCCTATTGAGATTAGAATTGGGTTGGTAAATTGATAAAAGGAACAAGAGTCCTTTTGGTTTGGAAGTTCAGTTGAAAAATGGATCAAAGTTCATTAAGGATTGGATGTTTGATTGGTGAAATTTTCGAGTTTTGGATAGCAAGTTCGGGCACCTAAGCGCCCATAATGAAAGAAAACGGTGAAATTTGGCTCGAGAAGCAGCATCGCAACCACTGCTCGCGTACTGCTCGATGACCCTTGAGCGCCAGCGTTATCTTGGCACGAATCATTTTTTGATTCTAACTTGTTTCTTGTATTGTATTTCATCCAAAACACTTGTAATGAATTCTTCTACTCCATGTGATATACCATCTTCATAACCTTGTTAGAACATAGCAAGACGTTGTATAGTATTGAAAGAAGATCAAAGTGAGACGATCTAGTTTATAGAGAGAGAGACTCGCATATTTTGAAAAAAGTTGAGAGTCTTGCAAAATCTTTTTGTAATTCTTTGTTATTGATTATAGTGAATTCTCCATTTTTGCCTGAGGATTTTTCAGATTTAGGTTTCCACGTTAAATTTCATGTTCTTGTGTGATCATTTTCATCTTGTTCATATTTTTTGGTTTTAATATTTATCATAAGCGATATAAGTTCTGTCACTAGATTATTGCAAATTGACTTGTTTTATAACAAATGTTGATATCTTTTTGGGTTTGTGATATCGGAAGCTAGCGTGCATGAAATTGTCAAAATACGAAGTTTATGAGAAACGTTTTACTTCTATCACTAGATTATTGCAAATTGATTTGTGTTATGACAAAGATTGATATCTTTTTGGGTTTGTGATTTCGGGAGCTAGCGTGTATGACAATGTTAAAATACAAAGTTTATGAGACACTTTTTACTTCCCTATTAATTCATTCGAGGATATCAAAAAAATACGTAATAAGCACCTGTTGATTTATACATTAATACTGAAAGGTTAAACAAAAAAAGATTGATATAAATCAAAATTTTATTCAATATTTAATTGAGTTGACCTTACAAACTTCTTAAACAACTGAGAATGTTACCTAGCTAATGAGCTAGTTAGAATAACATATCTTGAATTACAAACATTAACAAAGGAAACTCTAACTTTCGATCAAATAGTAAAAGGGTTGTTTGATCCTAATATGATGCAGTTTGTCCCAAATTAAGAGTGCAAAAAGGTTTTATCTTGATTTTTCTTGGAAGCTCGACGTTTGGAAAACTGAGGTCACGCGTCTAAATCTAAGATTGTTGACAAAAAATAATAAATAAAAATAAAAATTTAAACTTCGACGGAATTACTTTTACCTCGACTATGTTTAGCAAGTAAAAGAATTATAGAATAGATGGATAAATTTGTTTGAATTTTACTCAAATTCAATTTGATCTTAACCAAAATAGCTTGTTAGTCTTATGAAAATTAACTTAATTATGAAGACAATAATTTATGTAAGGATTTAAATTATCCCTCTTAGTAAGGTTAATATTTCGAGATGGGACTTCAACCAGGTTTGAGCTCGTAGTTAAAATTTCAAATTTGAGTCGGCTGTTATTTTTTGGCTTGGACTACTATTTAAATTTTTTATGCTTAGCTATGGAAAAGAATTGGGACCCACGGTAGCCCTGCCCCTGACCCAATTCTCAATGTAGTACTAGAACACTTGAAAGTTGAAGTAAATGCTTCGAAACTCATGTTGTCAATGAGCTACTATATATACTAGTCTTTCACCCCGGTGAATGCACAAATTATAAATTTCATAACTTATACGGACAATTATAGTATAAATTATACAAATATTTAATTGAGTATAAACTGTAAAAACATTTACTGAGAGTTATGAAATATTTATTAAAAGTAACATCTTAACTGAGTACAAAATGTAAAAACATTTAATTGGGAGTTAGGAAATATTCATCAAAAACAACATCGATTAAAATTTTTCGTCTGTATCCACACATCTTATCGGATGAAATTGATTCAATTGGTTGTCCTAAAATGAAGGATTCTACGTACTTCAACAAAAAAAAAAACTCCACAATTAGGCCTGAAACAACATAATATTAGAATATATTAGTATTATTAGTATGAAATTAAATTGAAAAATAAATTTAATATCATGGTGATTTGTATGTAAATGCTTACCCACATTTGTGCAAGGCCGAGAAGCCATAATGTGCATCTTCATGTCTTTTTTGAAAAATTTTCTTAACTCGTCTCTGACGGACAACATCCCAAAAGAGACCACTAACCTCTGAACTAATTTGAATGTTGATTTTGCATGTAGTTTTACTTGGTCTGGTGTGTGGATACTGTGGCTACGATCATATATTTGAAATTTTCACCTACGTATATCCACGAGATAAAGATACCAATTGTTGACGAGGATTAAAGATTGTATGAGTAGATAATTGTATGTCATCCATGGGATTCCACCTACAGGTAATATACTACTTACGTACTGTTGGAAAACCTGAAAGTTTGGCTAACGGTCACTTGCAATTCCTTGTGTCATACTGTCTTGCCATATCATATGACGAACACATTCACCTTCGAATGAAAAATCTAGAATTGCATACTCTTTAGAGACACGAGGGGATCTATTATGAATAAGTTTTTTCAACAACATTAACTCTATGTTAAGAATCTAATGAAATAGATAGAGTAAATTAGATACGTTAACTATGGACTGTAATTATTGTTATCAATCGTAAATTTAACTAACCGCAACATGGATATTTTTGGATGTATCCTGTAAATCTTGTAATATATCTCATGTTTCCACTTCTATCTTTCCAAAACTCACTGCAAGGCGACAGGTGAATTAATTTGAATACAATGGAATGAAAATTGTAATATGTGAATGAATAAAGTGGAAATGGATTTTTTACTCAGATTAATGCTTCTTTATCCAATCTGTAATAGTTATGTATCTATCCATGGGATAGTCTTCTAAAAGATCTTTGGATGATGACGAAGATTGGCTGTTTTCCTTTTATTTTTTTTGTATGTGGTTAATTGTTAAACTTGATGAACTTGTTGAGAGCTTGAAGGATGAATATGTTGATCACCATGAACTGGACTCTTATGGATATGAACATCTTGTTGTAGAGAGTTTATAATAACTTCCATATTGGATTTCCAACCAGAAAATTGATCCAGCATGTTCTTATTCTGTTCATGAATATAA